CCACAGACATCTCTCCACAGACACCTCTCCACAGACACCTCTCCACAGACATCGCTCCACAGACATCTCTCCACAGACATCTCTCCACAGACACCTCTCCACAGACATCTCTCCACAGACACCTCTCCACAGACATCTCTCCACAGACATCTCTCCACAGACACCTCTCCACAGACATCGCTCCACAGACATCTCTCCACAGACACCTCTCCACAGACATCTCTCCACAGACACCTCTCCACAGACATCTCTCCACAGACATCTCTCCACAGACACCTCTCCACAGACATCTCTCCACAGACATCTCTCCACAGACATCTCTCCACAGACACCTCTCCACAGACGTCTCTCCACAGACATCTCTCCACAGACATCTCTCCACAGACATCTCTCCACAGACACCTCTCCACAGACATCTCTCCACAGACATCTCTCCACAGACACCTCTCCACAGACATCGCTCCACAGACATCTCTCCACAGACACCTCTCCACAGACACCTCTCCACAGACATCTCTCCACAGACATCTCTCCACAGACAGATGTGTGTGTATTAGAACCAGTATAAAGTGACTCTCTATGACAGGCATGTCAAAGTCAAATACATAAGAGGGCCAAAAAAAAATGTTTGCTACGCGCCGAGGGCCGGACTGGTTCAACATCCAGAGGCAGTGCCGGTGACACCTGTTGGCTCGATAAAATATGCTCCAAAGCCAATCCTCATACTGTACATATTAGATGTAATAGACATCTGAGAACATGAAAATAGTAAAAAAAAAAGCTCAAACTTGGTGAAATGTAAAAGAGCAGTCTGGACCTCTTTTCGGGGCGTTTTTGATTAAATCTGCAGAATGGATTATACTTTGGGAAATACAAGTGGATATTCTTCTTCAATGAACAGTTACGGAGAGAAAGCGACTAAGCAAGGATGGGTAAAGTCTAATTTGTTGGAGCAGCAAAAGATGAAAGGTAAAAAACAAATACAGACGTGATTTATTTTGCGCCCATATTATGCGTTATATCTTTTTAATGCAAAGTCTGATATCGTTTACATTTACATATAAATATAGCTGAGAAAATAAGCTTTAAAATGATATATAGCTTGTGGCTTATGAAGTTCAAAATACATCTGCTATTGCCAGCAGATGTATTTTTTTCCTCGTTTGCTCCCGCCGGCGGGGGCTAGCGAGCTTAAGGGGTCAATACATTGCATCAATGGCAGGCAATGTCCCGGGGGCCATAGATAATTCATTCGCGGCCGGATTTGGCCCGCGGGCCTTGACTTTGACACATGTGCTCTATGATGTCGCATTACTGCTGTTAGTGTCTTTTTGAATATAAACTTATGTGTATAAAAGTCAAACTATTTAATGCATAAGGAAGTATATGACATAAGTATTGATAAATATTTGGATGGAGCAGTGTCTGCAGTCAGAGCTCTATGTCCCCTCCCACACGTCTGCACACTAAAAAATGCTGCTCTCTCTGGTGGTCTCGCTCTGGTCTTTTTCTCTCCCCGGTCTCTCTCTCTGGTCTCTCTCTAGTGTTTTACCCTCCCTGGTCTCTCTCTCTCTCTGGTGGTCTCGCTCTGGTCTTTTTCTCTCCCCGGTCTCTCTCTCTCTGTCTCTCTCTGGTGTTTTACCCTCCCTGGTCTCTCTCTCTCTCTGGTCTCTCTTACTGGTCTCTCTCACTTACTGTGGTGTCTTGAGTTTTACTGTTGTGATAATAATAATTGTAACGGTTTGGAAAGTGTGGAGTTTTTTGTACAGTTTTCAGAAGCTGCAACGGTAAAGCTAACGGTAAAGCTAAGTAGCTAAGTAGAATGCAAACACTGTTACTTCCTGGTTTCATAGAGCTGTATATCATGGCTTGAAAAAGGGAGCAAGTTCATTAGTATGGAGCTCTACTAAAAAGGAACGACAGGAATATACATAATTTTTGTATTAAAGACGCGCCCCAGATTTAGGATTAAGATTAAGATGACAAGGGACAAGTAATTCTTAATCTTAAAGCTGTGGCAATTAACTTTCAACAAAATCAATCCAACTCACTCCTTTCTCTATTACTAGTTTACACATGTGTACTTGTCGGCTTCGGTAGTCCATCCATTCAACCTATTTCTTCCGCTTTATCCGTTGCCGGGTCGCGGGGGCAGCAGTCTGAGCGGAGACACAGACTTCCCTCTCCACACACACTTTCTCCAGCTCTAATTGCATGAAGGCAGCTTAAAGTGGTCTGACAATATTATTACTTTTTTACAATATTCTTTCTGTTGGAATAAATACAATTAAAAAAGTTAGGTACCCCAGCTTTAGGAGCCTGTTTTTGACCAAATTATTAACTTTCAATATACTTTTAAGACCTTGTGGATATACTATAGACGGAATATGGAACCTCTGAGCTTTTGAGCCGGTGGGCAAACACTACAGCCTGTACACAAATGGACAATGCTAACCCGCTCACTCTATGCAGCCCAATAGGGAAGTGCTCATGGACAAAGTTTTTGCACCAACTCCCTCTGGCTCCTATTGACTTCCATGTAAAAGTAAATTCTATCTCAGTAACTGTTTGTGACACCATTTTGGGCTTAAATCTGTAGTTTAGCGCTCTCTGTGATCACGCTGTTTATATTGTGATGTTGTCTTTCGTAAATCCAGACATGAGCCATGTTATAAGGAATGGCCAATCAGAGGCCTTCATTCACAGGGGAAACTCCAGCTTGCCTTAGCAACCACCTAGCAACACCTCTGCCCCCGTTCACGCCACAGAAGTAATGCCCATATAAGGAAATTGTCTCCAGCTTATGTTGAAATTGGCCTCTTCCATTTGTCAGTCCACTCCTCATACATACCCTCCCCCCGCCCCCACCTTTGCACTAATACTGGACAATGCTAACGTCCAGTGCATTAAGTGGCACATTTGACATTGACCTTGATCCCCAGCTGTCGACCCACCATACATCTGTCGGCTCCTCCTCCCTGTAATGTAAAAAAATAAATATATAAATACGTTAAACGAGAGCAGTTCCCATAAAGCAGCTGCACATCATCATTCACAGCGTAATTAAAAATGATCTTGTGGAAGCAAATTGGGCGTTTTGAGGATTAGCGCAGAACGAGCGAGGGATAAAAATGAATGGGGCACTTAGCTCGGAATTAAACTGCACTAGAGTCTCACTGAAGAACAGAAGAGCAGAGAGAGAGACGCAGGTAGAGGGATAAGTGGCTCTATACCGAGTCCATTATTCTACAGCATAAGCCTGAGTCTGACTTTAGGGAAACGGACAGAAGCAGAATGAGTCAAAAAGTGCTTTCACTTTTGAGGGTTTGAAGAGCAGGACCAGGACCAAGACCAGAATCAAGACCAGGACCAAGACCAGGACCAGGACCAGGACCAAGACCCAAGACAAGACCCAAGACAAGACCCAAGACAAGACCCAAGACAAAACCAGAACAAGAAGGACCAGGACAAGAAGGACCAGAACAAGAAGGACCAGAAAAAGAAGGACCAGGACAAGAAGGACCAGAACAAGAAGGACCAGAGCAAGAAGGACCAGAGCAAGAAGGACCAGAGCAAGAAGGACCAGAGCAAGAAGGACCAGAGCAAGAAGGACCAGAACAAGAAGGACCAGAACAAGAAGGACCAGAACAAGCAGAACAAGAAGGACCAGAACAAGAAGGACCAGAACAAGAAGGACCAGAGCAAGAAGGACCAGAGCAAGAAGGACCAGAACAAGAAGGACCAGAACAAGAAGGACCAGAACAAGAAGGACCAGAACAAGCAGAACAAGAAGGACCAGAACAAGAAGGACCAGAACAAGCAGAACAAGAAGGACCAGAACAAGCAGAACAAGAAGGACCAGAACAAGAAGGACCAGAGCAAGAAGGACCAGAGCAAGAAGGACCAGAGCAAGAAGGACCAGAACAAGAAGGACCAGAACAAGAAGGACCAGAACAAGAAGGACCAGAACAAGCAGAACAAGAAGGACCAGAACAAGAAGGACCAGAACAAGAAGGACCAGAACAAGAAGGACCAGAGCAAGAAGGACCAGAACAAGAAGGACCAGAACAAGCAGAACAAGAAGGACCAGAACAAGAAGGACCAGAAGGACCAGGACAAGAAGAACCAGGACAAGAAGGACCAGGACAAGAAGGACCAGGACAAGAAGGACCAGAGCAAGAAGGACCAGAACAAGAAGGACCAGAACAAGAAGGACCAGAACAAGCAGAACAAGAAGGACCAGAACAAGAAGGACCAGGACAAGAAGGACCAGGACAAGAAGGACCAGGACAAGAAGGACCAGGACAAGAAGGACCAGGACAAGAAGGACCAGGACAAGAAGGACCAGAACAAGAAGGACCAGGACAAGAAGGACCAGGACAAGAAGGACCAGGACAAGAAGGACCAGGACAAGAAGGACCAGGACAAGAAGGACCAGGACAAGAAGGACCAGAACAAGAAGGACCAGAACAAGAACGACCAGAACAAGAACGACCAGAACAAGAAGGACCAGAACAAGAAGGATCAGAACAAGAAGGACCAGAACAAGAAGGACCAGAACAAGAAGGACCAGAACAAGAAGGATCAGAACAAGAAGGACCAGAACAAGAAGGACCAGAACAAGAAGGATCAGAACAAGAAGGACCAGAACAAGAAGGACCAGAACAAGATGGACCAGGGCATGGACCAGGATAAAGACCAAGACCAAGACCAGGACCGGACTCTCGCTGAAGAACAAAAGTGCAGAGAGAGACGCAGGTAGAGGGAGAAGTGGCTCTATGCAGATTCCATTATTCCACTGACTGCAAAAAACGATGAAGAATAAATTTGCTCAAATGTATCCTAAATTGAGCACATTCTGACTGCCTTAAAACAAGATTTGCCAACGCCAAAGAACAACGATCTTGTTTTAAAAAGATACAAGAAATGTCTCCCTTAGTGGAATTAGAAAATAAAGCAACAGTTCTTGTAAATCTTGTTTATAGATGAACTCAAGTAAAGTAAAAAACCACTCAATCCAGGCATTTATTACCTCCATATTTTATCCGTTTGTGTAGTGCAGCATAAGCCAGAGTCGGCCTGACGGAGATGGACGAGCCGCACGCTGAATTAGTCAAAGAGCACTTTCGCAGTTTAGACAGAAGCGATGCGTGGGTGTTTGAGGGTTTGAAGGCTCCGGAAATAGTGAGTTTTTAGTGAAACAGAAGAGGCCAGAGCTGGAAGCACTGTGTTAGTGAATAGACTGTGGAAGCTTCCGGAGAAACATGGATGGGCTGTAACTACGTTGATCTCCAAAAATAAAGGACTTAACGCCTCGACTGATGTCCAGCAGCATTTAATTTCATACAGGCATTTGGAACACCGTGAAAACTACAAAGATAAAGGAGGAGAGTAAATTTCCATACAGTAACTCACACAATAAGAATCAGGTCTCAAAATAAAAGACACAGGTTACCGTGTGCGCCTTAGTAGACCAATCGTAGAATAACACTCTTTCCAAGCTGCAAAAACTTCTCTTTATAGCAGCATACTTTAAAATACTTTTCAACTTATTCTTTGAGAAGCAAACTTAAACGGCAGCAAAAATGATCTGAGTTGTCATGGCAACCAAAGCGTCAGTTGTACTCAGCTATAACTTGAGTTGTCATGGTAACCTTAGCGCCAGTTACATGGGCAGCTCCAGTTTTCAGACCACAGCTAGCTAACAAGCATATCAGCTAATTATATTGTATATGTTTGCGCCCCCCACAGTGGGACGAATAACATTGGACTCTCTCGCTCTCTGCTCTCTCCATCTCTGGTCTCTCTCGCTCTCTGGACTCTCTTTGCTCTCTCCCTCTTTGCTCTCTCTCTTTCTGGTCTCTCTCGCTCTCTGGTCTGTCTATCTCTCTCTCTGCTCTCTCTCGCTCTCTGGTCTGTCTATCTCTCTCTGGTCTTTCCCACTCTCTGGACTCTCTCGCTCTCTGCTCTTTCCCTCTCTGGTCTCTGTCTCTCTACTCTCTCTCTCTCGCTGGTCTCTTTCTCTCTGCTCTCTCCCTCTCTGGTCTCTTTCTCTACTCTCTCTCTCTCTATCTGGTCTCCCTCCCTCTGCTCTCTCTCTCTCTCTCTGGTCTCCCTCCCTCTGCTCTCTCCCGCTCTCTGGTCTGTCTCGCTCTCTCTCTGGTCTTTCTTGCTATCTGGACTCTCTCCCTCTTTGCTCTCTCCCTCTCTGCTCTCTCTCTTTCTGGCCTCTCTCGCTCTCTGGTCTGTCTCTCTCTCTCTGCTCTCTGGTCTGTCTATCTCTCTCTGGTCTTTCCCACTCTCTGGACTCTCTCGCTCTCTGCTCTTTCCCTCTCTGGTCTCTTTCTCTCTACTGTCTTTCTCTCTGGTCTCTTTCTCTCTGGTCTCTCTCTGGTCTCTTTCTCTCTACTCTCTCTCTCTCTCTCTGGTCTCTTTCTCTCTACTCTCTCTCTCTGGTCTCTTTTGAATAAAGGTTCTCTTATCTTGTCTTATGTAAAACCAGGAAGCCATGTCAAATCCATTTGGCGGTTTCTCACTCTCAAAAATGTTCAAATCAAATCAATTCCATTTACTTGTGCATGGCCCTAAATCACAACCGTTTTTCTTTCTGAGGATTCTTAATGAGAAGTTTTCAATTCACCAACAACAGATCAGAGAATCAAACAGTTCAACACAATGCAATAATAACAAATGCGTAGAGCCATTGATCCATCGGAGGATTGAGGCTATAGATTCAGCACTTGACGTTATAGACAGTATATATATATTTATGTCCTGCTTGTGTCTCACAGATTGTGTTGCAGAGAAATGTCTTGGTTTGTCAGGTGTGGGGAAGTTTTCAAGACGCACAATGGGAGACAGAGTGAAGGCAGTACAATAGACATGTCCTGTCTGCTTCTGACAGCTCTGAACCACAAGAACACAGCTCCTGGATCCTATCTCTATCTCAGACACACACACTGGTCTCTCTCTCTCTCTCTCTCTGGTCTCTCTCTCTCTCTCTCTCTGGTCTCTTTCTCTCTGCTCTCTCTCTCTGGTCTCTCTCCCTCTCTGGTCTCTTTCTCTCTGCTCTCTCTCTCTCTGGTCTCTCTCGCTCTCTGGTCTGTCTCTCTCTCACTGGTCTTTCTTGCTCTCTGGACTCTCTCGCTCTCTCCCTCTCTGGTCTCTTTCTAGCCGCTCTCTCTCTCACTCTCTCTCTCTCTCTGGTCTCTCTCGCTCTCTGGTCTGTCTCTCTCTTTCTGGTCTTTCTCGCTCTCTGCTCTCTCCCTCTCTGGTCTCTTTCTCTCTGCTCTCTCTCTCTGCTCTCTCTCGCTCTCTGATCTGTCTCTCTCTCTGGTCTTTCTCGCTCTCTGGACTCTCTCGCTCTCTGCTCTCTGGTCTCTTTTTCTTTGGTCTCTCTCTCTCTGGTCCAACCATCTAACCTTTGAGGAGAAGTTGAAAACCTGTAACACTAAGTGAAGTTCTCCCGGAGGCAGGAAACCAAATGTAGTCTTTGTGGAGAGAGAGGTCTGCCACAGGAGAGAGGTGCAGAGGCTGCGGTCAGAGGGAGGTGCAGGTGGTGACCAGAGAAATAAACGTACAATCCAGAAACAGAGAGAGAGAGAGAGAGTCCACACACTGCAGGAACAGAGAGAGAGAGTCCACACACTGCAGGAACAGAGAGAGAGAGTCCACACACTGCAGGAACAGAGAGAGAGAGTGAGTCCACACCCTCCAGGAACAGAGAGAGAGGGTCCACACACTCCAGGAACAGAGAGAGAGTCCACACTCTCCGGGAACAGAGAGAGAGAGTCCACACACTCCAGGAACAGAGAGAGAGAGTCCACACACTCCAGGAACAGAGAGAGAGTCCACACTCTCCGGGAACAGAGAGAGAGTCCACACTCTCCGGGAACAGAGAGAGAGTCCACACTCTCCGGGAACAGAGAGAGAGAGTCCACACACTCCAGGAACAGAGAGAGAGAGAGTCCACACCCTCCAGGAACAGAGAGAGAGTGAGAGAGTCCACACCCTCCAGGAACAGAGAGAGAGAGGCCACACCCTCCAGGAACAGAGAGAGAGAGTCCACACACTCCAGGAACAGAGAGAGAGAGAGTCCACACCCTCCAGGAACAGAGAGAGAGAGTCCACACACTCCAGGAACAGAGAGAGAGAGAGTCCACACCCTCCAGGAACAGAGAGAGAGAGTCCACACACTCCAGGAACAGAGAGAGAGAGAGTCCACACACTCCAGGAACAGAGAGAGAGAGAGTCCACACCCTCCAGGAACAGAGAGAGAGAGAGTCCACACCCTCCAGGAACAGAGAGAGAGAGTCCACACACTCCAGGAACAGAGAGAGAGAGTCCACACACTCCAGGAACTGTGAAATCAATCAACAAAAACAGTTTGGATACAGGATTATATCCAGTTGTCCTGGAGCCAACGGTATTTTCTGCCAGAGGGAAGAAGCTGGAACAAGGCTTTTCCAGGGGCCAGAGAGTCATTGAACCTCTAGAACAGTCAGCTCACAGTTCTCTTTCAGAGCGGAGCACCTCTCTCTGGTCTCTCTCCCTCTGGTCTCTCTCCCTCTGGTCTCTCTCCCTCTGGTCTCTCTCCCTCTGGTCTCTCCCTCTGGTCTCTCTCTCTGGTCTCTCCCTCTGGTCTCTCTCTCTGGTCTATCTCTGTGAATGGTTGGTGGTGGTTGGAGAGGGACCGGAGAGAGGGACCGGAGAGAGGGACCGGAGAGAGGGACCGGAGGGAGGGACCGGAGGGAGAGACCAGAGGGAGAGATCCCAGAGAAAGAGACAGAGCTCAGAGAGAATAGACTCAGATCTCAGACAAACGAGATGATATTATGATAAAATAAGCCGCCTCCCAAAGTGAGGCACCTGTTAGACCTGTCTGTGGCCTTCACCTGCGGCTCCTTAGACCTGTCTGTGGCCTTCACCTGCGGCTCCTTAGACCTGTCTGTGGCCTTCACCTGCGGCTCCTTAGACCTGTCTGTGGCCTTCACCTGCGGCTCCTTAGACCTGTCTGTGGCCTTCACCTCCGGCTCCTTAGACCTGTCTGTGGCCTTCACCTCCGGCTCCATAAAGTAAAGTGTTTTCATCGCAGCCTGGTCCTGCTCCATCCAGAGCCTTGACACTCTGTGGGCACAGACCGGTCCAAAATAGAGCATTAGAAAAAGCTCAAACATATGCTGTCCTTATTATCGGTGGCATCTGCTGAAATCCACTGGCATCTGGACGTGGGCACGGCTCGGCGTCTCTATCCGTCACTCTCTCTCTCTCTCTCTCACACCACACACTCACACACCACACACTCACACACGCTCTCTGTCCCTGCCTGTCATTATCTCTCTCTCTGTGTCTCTATCTCCGTCTTTCTGTCTGTCTCTTTGTGTCTCTCTCTCTTTGTCTCTCTCTCTTTCTGTCTCTATCTCCGTTATTTTCTCTCTCTGTCGCTATCTCTGCCTCTACCTCTCTCTCTCTCTCTGTCTCTGCCTCCGTCTCTCTCTCTCTCTCTGTCTCTATCTCCTTCTTTCTCTCTCTCTCTGTCTCTCCCTCTGTCTCTCTCTCTGTCTCTTTCTCTGTCTTTCTCTGTCTTTCTCCTTTCTCTCTCTCTCTGTTTCTCACTTTCTGTCTATCTGTCTCCATCTCCGTCTTTCTCTCTCTCTCTCTCTCTCTCTCTTTCTCTCTCTCTCTCTCTCTCTCTCTCAATCACTGTGTTCATTCAGTGAAGTCGTGCAAACAAGGAGGTGTTAGAGTTACTATAGCAGACATGCAGTGGTGTTTTTGCTCCGTGTGAATGCGATTTGAATGAAGTCACTCGCTCGTCTCCCAGATGGATCATTAATGCCACACTCTAGAACAGCCATTCCCAAACTCAGTAACACCGAGGCCCCCTTAAAAATCTGACGGGTCTGCGTGGCCCCCCAAAATAATAACCAAGAAGACAACATTAAGAATAGGCTCTTCTGGTTATTTTATTTTGGGGAAATAGCCTCTGCTACAAACATTGTAATACAAAAATGATTACAGTGGCTTATTCAAGTCAAATAATGAACACAAATATTTTAATATTACAAACAAAACATTATAAATTTAACATTAAATAATTATATATATATATATATATATATTTTTATGACCTCCCGCGGCCCCCCTGCAGTACCCTCGCGGCCCACCAGGGGGCCGCGGACCCCACTTTGGGAGACACTGCTCTAGAACATTCCAGGCCAACATTACAGTCAAAAAGCAATTACAAATGAACCAATCCATACCAAGTGCGTGATACAGGGACAGTGCATATCTAACATTAGCTCAACAGAGAGATTCACTTATTCTTTGTTGTCCCTGTGGGGATATGTGGCCCCGATTGCAAAGTGCCAAATTCTATGAGTAACAAGCTTCTGTTTACCTTCTAAAAGTAAAGTCTGACTGATCGATGGATAGATCATTTATTGACCCCCGTAGGAGAAATTCAGGTGTCCAGTAGCAGCAAAGAAATAAAATAAAATAGATAATTCTAAAAAGCTAACAATAGTAATAATCAGCAACAGCCCTTCAGGTCACAGCAGCAGAGGTGGAGTAGCCTCTGGGTGGAGCAGGACGGGTCACAGCCGCAGAGGTGGAGTAGCCTCTGGGTGGAGCAGGACGGGTCACAGCCGCAGAGGTGGAGTAGCCTCTGGGTGGAGCAGGACGGGTCACAGCAGCAGAGGTGGAGTAGCCTCTGGGTGGAGCAGGACGGGTCACAGCAGCAGAGGTGGAGTAGCCTCTGGGTGGAGCAGGACGGGTCACAGCAGCAGAGGTGGAGTAGCCTCTGGGTGGAGCAGGACGGGTCACAGCAGCAGAGGTGGAGTAGCCTCTGGGTGGAGCAGGACGGGTCACAGCAGCAGAGGTGGAGTAGCCTCTGGGTGGAGCAGGACGGGTCACAGCAGCAGAGGTGGAGTAGCCTCTGGGTGGAGCAGGACGGGTCACAGCAGCAGAGGTGGAGTAGCCTCTGGGTGGAGCAGGACGGGTCACAGCCACAGAGGTGGAGTAGCCTCTGAGTGGAGCAGGACGGGTCACAGCCGCAGAGGTGGAGTAGCCTCTGGGTGGAGCAGAACGGGTCACAAGGTGGAGTAGCCGCTTGGTTCGGAGCATTTTCTCTGCTCTGGTCCAAAGTAAAATACTAAATGCTTCATATAGCATTTTAAAGGTTAGCATTCCTCCAGTGGATTTTCACCTGGTCCACTTGGTTCGGACCATGAATCCTCTCTGGTCTGGTCTGGACCAGTGTAAAACCATGAATCCTCTCTGCTCTGGTCTGAACCAGTGTAAAACCATGAATCCTCTCTGCTCTGGTCTGGACCAGTGTAAAACCATGAATCCTCTCTGCTCTGGTCTGGACCAGTGTAAAACCATGAATCCTCTCTGCTCTGGTCTGGACCAGTGTAAAACCATGAATCCTCTCTGCTCTGGTCTGGACCAGTGTAAAACCATGAACACTGTACTGCAGCAACATCTCAGCTAGAAAAAAGCAAGAAAAATAACAATTGTAAAGCTCCAAACAACAACTGTTGCAGAACTACTTGCAGTCGTTTCCAGCACATTCAAAAGTAAAATCTTTCCATTGCTTTCTGAAAAGTTGTATCGTGTGTTTTGTGTTCTTGTTATTGCGGGACCTGCCTCGGGACACGGATGTAAATGAACAGTTTTGCTATAATCTGGAACATTTACAATTTGTGTACAACTTATATATGATTGTTCATTAATGTGCAATGTCCTGATCAAATACATAAATACTTAAATCACAAAATAAAATAAAAAAATCAGTGAAGCCATGTAGCCAGAGTCAAGAAACATGTTTTCTGTGCGTTGTGTAATGTGAGCAGAGAGAAGAGGATTCCACGGTTTCCAGAACATTCTTTGATTGGTTTAGTTTGTGTCATCGCCTTATTCAGAGTTTCTCTCACAGACGGTTTGATGGACGTAGGATTTCTGCCTGTGCTGTAAATGTCCAAAGGTTTATGAGAATGGTGTGTCATCCTTGTGTGTGTGTGTGTGTGTGTCTCTCTTTCTGTGTCTGTGTGTCTCCCTGTGTGTGTGTGTCTGTGTGTGTGTCTCTCTCTCTTTCTGTGTCTGTGTGTCTCCCTGTGTGAATGTCTGTGTGTGTGTCTCTCTCTCTTTCTGTGTGTGTGTGTCTCCCTGTGTGTGTGTGTGTGTCTCCCTGTGTGTCTGTGTGTGTGTCTCTCTCTTTCTGTGTCTGTGTGTCTCCCTGTGTGTGTGTGTGTGCGCGTGTGTGTGGGTTTGTGTCTATCTCTCTGTGTGTATGTGTGTGTCTCTCTCTCTCGCTGTCTGTGTCTTGTGTTTGTCTCTCTCTTTCTGTTTCCGTGTGTTTGTGTGTGTGTGTGTCTCTCACTCTGTGCGTGTGTGTGTTTCCTTGTGTGTGTGCATGTGTGTGGGTTTGTGTCTGTCTGTGTGTGTGTTTGTCTCGCTCTCTTTCTTTTTCTGTGTGTTGGTGTCTCTCTCTCTCTCTCTGTGTGTCTGTTTCTCCCTGTGTGTTTGTGTGTGTCTCTCTCTCTCTCTCTGTGTGTGTCTGTGTGTCTCCCTCTGTGTGTGTGTGTGTGTGCGTGTCTCCCTGTGTGTGTGTGTGAAAATGAGCTGGGCAGTGGCCTTTCCGTCCGCGATGATCCGAGTGGGAGCCATTAAACCTGTTCAGAAGTGTTGAGACGCAGATGTAGAGACTGGGGGTAAATGCCAGCGCCGTGTTCCAGCGACAGCAGTGAGAACACACACTTTGAGGACACACACAGGGAAGCGGATTTAACCTTTCCGTTTAGGCAGAAGCGAGGATTTGGATCTGTTTAAACTGTACAGCTGTGTGTCATCTGCACGGCGAGGCGGGGTTTTTTGTATAGCACGTACACGAGGCAACACAAAGGGCTGCACAACAAGAAGCAATCGACACAAGACATTAGAATCATGAGTAATCAAAGTGTATTAGAATGATAGATGCAGTCTGTGTGTGTGTCTGTGAGTGTGTGTGTGTGTGTCTGTGAGTGTGTGTGTGAGTGTGTGTGTGTGTCTGTCTGTGAGTGTGTGTGTGTGTGTCTGTGAGTGTGTGTGTGAGTGTGTGTGTGTGTCTGTCTGTGAGTGTGTGTGTGTGTGTCTGTCTGTGAGTGTGTGTGTGAGTGTGTGTGTGTGTGTGTCTGTGAGTGTGTGTGTGAGTGTGTGTGTGTGTCTGTCTGTGAGTGTGTGTGTGTCTGTCTGTGAGTGTGTGTGTGAGTGTGTGTGTGTGTGTGTGTGTGTGTGTGTCTGTGTGTGTGTGTGTGTGTGTGTCTGTGAGTGTGTGTGTGTGTGTGTCTGTGAGTGTGTGTGTGTGTGTCTGTGAGTGTGTGTGTGTGTGTGTGTCTGTGAGTGTGTGTGTCTGTGTGTGTGTGTGTGTGTCTGTCTGTCTGTGAGTGTGTGTGTGTGTCTGTCTGTGAGTGTGTGTGTCTGTCTGTGAGTGTGTGTGTGTGTGTCTGTCTGTGAGTGTGTGTGTCTGTGTGTGTGTGTGTGTCTGTGAGTGTGTGTGTGTGTGTCTGTGAGTGTGTGTGTGTGTGTCTGTCTGTGAGTGTGTGTGTGTGTGTGTGTGTGTGTGTCTGTGAGTGTGTGTGTCTGTGTGTGTGTCTGTGAGTGTGTGTGTGTCTGTTTGTGAGTGTGTGTGTGTGTCTGTGAGTGTGTGTGTGTGTGTGTCTGTCTGTGAGTGTGTGTGTGTGTGTGTGTCTGTGAGTGTGTGTGTGTGTGTGTCTGTCTGTGAGTGTGTGTGTCTGTGTGTGTGTGTGTGTGTCTGTCTGTGTGTGTGTGTGTGTGTCTGTCTGTCTGTGAGTGTGTGTGTGTGTCTGTCTGTGAGTGTGTGTGTGTCTGTCTGTGAGTGTGTGTGTGTGTGTGTGTGTGTGTGTCTGTCTGTGAGTGTGTGTGTCTGTGTGTGTGTGTGTGTCTGTGAGTGTGTGTGTGTGTGTCTGTGAGTGTGTGTGTGTGTGTCTGTCTGTGAGTGTGTGTGTGAGTGTGTGTGTGTGTGTCTGTGAGTGTGTGTGTCTGTGTGTGTGTCTGTGAGTGTGTGTGTGTGTGTGTCT